TGCCTGTTGCAGAGGTGAGCTTCAGCAGATGTGTAATCACTGAACAAAGATAGAGGACCCTCCCCATTACCACGTGAGGCTCAAGAGGACTGAGGTCCCTTCAGCTGGGCCACACCACCACCACCAACCCCTCCCTGTGAAAGCTGCCCCCATCACTCTGCACAGAAGCGGTGGGGGTGGGGGACAAGCCACAGTACCTAAATCAGGTTTCAGCTCTGAGGATTCTCACTGTCTTCACAGTATGACTCCTCCTGTCTTCCCTGACCATGCACGTTTCCAGGCTTCCAGATGGGGCAGTGATGGGAGGCAAGGAGAAGGGGCCCTCTGCATCCCTAAGGTGGTATGGGGTGTTGATCTGCCCACCACACCCTTTCTGTTGGCCCCACCCCAACCACCCAGTCCTCTTGGCCCAGGCCTAATGAGTCAGTCAATCCTGTGACTGTACAATATTCAGTCCACTTGGCCTCAGTGATTACTTCAGGGAAGAATGCAGGAGCCATGTCTGGCCAAGAGTTTCCCCCATACTTTTCTCCAGGGCCCTCAAGAAAGACTTATTTGTTCCCTGTCTTGGAATCCCACATACAGGGACCATGTGAGTGTGGGGCCACCCCTGGACATCTTGCAACCAAGCAGAGAATGCCACTGTTTAGGGCCCAGCTTTCTGCAGCCTTCTCTGCCCCCCTTAGATTTCCCATTATGGGAAATACACCATCTTCCTTTTTTCTTTCCTAAACTAGTTGAGCATTTCTGAGAGTTTCTGTTACTTAAGCCTTAAAAAGTCCTGAAAAATTCACCAGAACAATCTCTTTCAGTCTTTTTACCTAGTATCTGTCCAAGTGTTTCCTTATATTAAAATGTCAGGATCCAAGAAACATCCCCTGAGGTCATCTCGGAAGTGGGGGCCAAGAACATGAGCTCAGAATGGACACGTAGAAGGTGCTAAGCAGCACATGCCGAGGTCCAAAAATGCAGACGGGACGGGAACCAGCTGGTAGATAATGCTGGAGACAAAGGAGGGGCAAGATCAGGAACTGTTCTGAATTCCACGTGGTAAATCTGTGGGTAATAGGGAGCCACCGATGGCTTTCAAGCAGGGCTGTGATGAACCAGCTGGTAGATAATGCTGGAGACAAAGGAGGGGCAAGATCAGGAACTGTTCTGAATTGCACGTGGTAAATCTGTGGGTAATAGGGAGCCACTGATGGCTTTCAAGCAGGGCTGTGAGCCACCGATGGCTTTCAAGCAGGGCTGTGATGTACCTTGTTCTGCAAGCGATGACAGAGGCAAACTGCAGGGGTGACCACACAGGAGGCTGTTGAGGGGCCCGGGATGGAGATGAGGGGAGGACTCAAGGGTCAGTAGGGAAGCCTCTGTGAGACTTGGGAACCATTGGTGCCTCCACTTGAGGCGTCAATTTTACCATCACGGGCAAGTGGGCAAAGAGCAGAGGCAGATGACACTTGGGGGCAAGGGAAGGCACAGCAGGCAGCAGCTGCAGGACTGAGATGGTTCTGCAGAGACATCCACTTAGAAAAATCTGCTCAGAATCCCAGAACCTAAAAACAAGATGGGCTCCAGAGCCCTCCTATCCCATTCCTCATTTTATCGATGTCTAAACTGAGGTCCAGGGACAGGAAGGGACCTGCCCAAGGCCATTCAGTTTGTCACAGCCAGGCCTGGAGCCCAGCTGTCCTGCCCTGTTCACTCCAGCCCCAGCCCGTGATACTGTCTCATTGCAGGAGGGCTTGTTGAGCAGTAAATAACTTGGAGTGAGTGTGGAAGAGGAGGGTTCAGTAGCCTTAAATCTCTTCAGAATTTTTAAAGGAGCTGGGGAATATTGACACGAATTAAATCCAATAAAACATTCATTTAATTAAACTTTAAATGATCCAAATATTTGCTGTTTGGTTAATGTTTGTGTAGCCGACAGGAGCAGAATTTTGATGGTTCTGTCAGTATTCACGTATTCTAATTTCACGAGTTTTTCCTGTGCGAAGTGCACGTCTTCATACATACAAATAACTAGGAATGCACTTGGAGAGAGTGTGGCAACCGGCACCCCAGCCAGCAGAGGACCAGAGGGACACAGAAGGCTTCCAACTCTCACTTGGGTTTTTTTGCTTGCTTGTTTGTTTGTTTTTAGCCCTGAGGCTCCTCCAGATCTTTTTCTAAAACTGCTTGAAATATATTACTTTGGAGCCACTTGGAGGAGGGGGTTTCTGCATTTCACATAGGTCCTGTATTCCAAATAAGGGCCCCCGGACCGCAGCCTACCAGATGCCTCATTTCCCCATCCCCCACCCACACTCCACCTTTCTATCTACCCAGCCCCCTCTCTTCTTGTTAGGCAGTGGTTCTCAGGCCTCAGGGTACCACAGACCCCCTGGGATGCTCGTTAAAATCTGGATGCCCACCAAAGGGTCTGCACCAGCCTGAGGCAGAGGAACAGGAATTTGTGTTTTGATCACCCACCCCCAGAGATGCGACACAAGTAGCTGGGGAACCACACCTGAGCAGCGGAGCTCTAGGGCCCAGGGGAAACCCTGCCACCTCCAAAAGCCGGTTCATTTTGTACCTAAATGACTTCTTCACATGCCCCACCCCATTGAGAGAAAAATGCAACTAAATTCTCACTCCGTTTTAAAGCTTAGTCCGAGGTGACAGTGTTACCGGTCCACATAAGTAACACTCTGGCAAAGAAAAATGCTTTCTGCCTCCACCTTCCACATGTCCCCAGCTGCTCTCCAGGCTGGCTTAAGTGCACAAGGAAGTGGCAAGGCTGTCCTCTGCTGCCCCTGGCTCCCACTGCCAGGGCCCCATTGTCTGAGGGCACTCAGCTGAGCTCAGCCCTGGCTGTGCTCTTGGTCTAGCCTGGCATATTCCTGGGATCTGGAGTGGGGATGCTCCCCCAGGCTGGCCTCCCATAAACCCCATAGCACGGGGCACCCCTCGAGGCCCAGGGCAGTTCCTTGGGGCCCTGGTCTGCCACAGTGCAGTCCTGGGGTACAGAGGAACAGAGCATCTCACAGCCTGGCCAATGAATGGCCGGGAGCCGAGGGGGCTCTGGCAGGTAAACGCAGTGCCTGGCTCTCCCGCCTCACCCTTCCCACCATCTCTCTTATTCCCGCAACCCCCTGGGAGGAGGAGCAGGCCTTCCATACCCCTTCTTGCTTCTACAGCACAGATCCTCACAGCCTAGGGGAGCCTTGTAGTCACCCAATAAGGAAGGGGTACCTCCTCTACACTGGGGACAGCTCTGGGTTCTGAGTCCTAAAGTCCCGCAGAGTACAATGGGAGCTAAACAATTTTAGCAAATTCTCCCTCCCGCCCCCCTGCCCCAAGCCTGGGTCTTGCTACAGAGAGTCAATGCTTCTTCTCTCCTGCCCTGAGAATAAGCCTCATGACTCAGAGGTGGGCGGGCAGCAAGCAGAACGTGATTTAAGAGGGAACTTGAAATACATCACTATGTTTGTAAAATATTGTGCCGGTTGCGTCTGCATCAATCACTTGGTGCTTCTCTCTTCTCCTGCGGCTCCTTCCGCGAGAGTCACATTTTTCCTGTGTGTGACCACCCCCTCCCCACTGGCCTGCTGGCTCTTTTCCTTCTTATTTCCATTTTCTCCGGTTTTCATCCATCCATCCTACAAGCACTGGTGAAGTACCTAGTGTACAAGGGTACTCCAAAAAATTCATGGGAAGATTCATATTATCTTCGAATTCTATTCTTCCACGAACTTTTTGAAGTAGCCATGTAGATCTTGTTCATTCCCGTGAGCCCAGGGCTGGGCCATGAATGTTTGTGGAGGAGGATGGGCTCTGCTGCCCAGGAGTGACCTTAGGCACCTGCTTCCACTGCTGCTCTCCCTCCCCCCCTACCACCCCCACCCCACACACATGCTGGCAAGAGGGTGTGAACACAGACATGCTGCCTACGGTGGTGTTGCTGCCTGGTCACAGCTCACGAGTGTCCCACTGAGTCACAGAGGTCAGCTCCCAACTCTGTGCTTTGTTCCAGATCTTTTGGGGAACACACCTGTCGGGGCCTCCCGGGCCCCAATATAGTAAGAATGAATAGGACTCTCAACATCCCAGAATAGACACAGACCCCCAGAGCCAGACTGCCTCCCTCAGCTCACGCAGCCCCTGGCAGCTGCCCCACGCCCCCTGAGTGGGCAGGTTTGGGGGAAGAGCAAGAGGGAATCAGTCCTGTCCATCGGCCAGTGACTCTCCCCCAAGCCTGATCACACTCGGGCATTTGAGCAACCTGAGTTTGATTAATTTTTCATAAATCCTGAGAATTTCAAAAAGCCTAGGATTACAGAAAAATATTTCGTACTCTTCCCATTTGCTTGAAGAATGATCAGTCTTAATGCCAGTTATCAAGTGGCAAGTCTTATTAATTTGTACAGCCTGAACTACACTTCAAAAAATTAAAGGCCACAGTGCATGGTCACAGAACAGAAATCCAAATCCAAGTTCAGCAAATCCTCAGGCGGAAACAGACCTTCAAAGGTCAGCCAGTTCATTCCCCAGATTTCAGACAGTACAACCTTTAAATTGCTCCCAGATGGATGAGAAAACTGTCGGCTCACCCAGCAGACCTTGACTGCGCTGAGCAAGGCCCAGACTTCATTAGGTCAGGGAACCAGCAGGCGCCACACACCTGGCTCCCTGGTCTCTGCATAATGGCCCCGGGTCCCTGGCAGCCCATGCGCCAGACTGAACTCACAAATCCATGGCCCAGGTGGCTGCCCTGCACATTATCTATCCTTCCCAACCTGTTTTGACTCACTGAGTCTTTTCAGCATCTGATGTAAGTCGTGGCCCCTCTCCCAGCAAAAGTGTCCATCTGTACATTTAGTCAGCACACTGTAAAACATTTCCAGGGAGGCTTGAAGCCCTCCTGGACCCCTGCCCTTGAGTAAATCGTGGCTGTTGCCTCAAGTTGAGACTCCACCCTCTGGGCCTGTGATTGACTGCCTTCTCCTTTCCCTTTGCAGAGGTGGTTCAGCTCAGCCTCGCCCCTGAGGACAGGGTCATTGTGACCACAGTGACTGTGGGGCTGAGCACAGTGCTGACTTGCGCTGTCCGTGGAGACCTGAGGCCACCAATCGTATGGAAGCGCAATGGGCTCACCCTGAACTTCCTGGACTTGGAAGACATCAATGTAAGTCACCACTGTGGGGCTGAGCACAGTGCTGACTTGCGCTGTCCGTGGAGACCTGAGGCCACCAATCGTCTGGAAGCGCAATGGGCTCACCCTGAACTTCCTGGACTTGGAAGACATCAATGTAAGTCACTTGGAACCCGTTCTGAGCTCAAGTGTAGCTACCAGGAAAAGAAAACTACGCAAGTTGCCTGTGGCCATGGCAGGGCCGTTGCGTTTTAGTTTAACATCCCACATTTGGTGCCTTTCCAGCCTGTTGTCAGCCTGGAGGTATTGGAAAATCTCCAGCATGTGCAGAGAATAGGTGAGTAGTGGCCATCAGCCCGGCAGCCACACCTGGCTAAGGTCAGGGCAGGTGGCCTCTGACCGGGGCCTGCATTAGCCAACGCCTTGGAAGGCCCTGAGAATGGCCATGGAGAGGAGTGGGCTATGTAGGCTTGCTCACATGGCTCAGAGGGATGGACCACAGGCAGACAGAGAGCACAGCCAGGCAGGAGGCCCCAGAGCAGGGGGCCCTGAGGGGGAGACTTTGGACCCTAAAGCTGGGAGGGATGTAGACAGCGGGACATGGGGAAAGGGGTAGCCCCTGAGGAGGGCAGAGGTGAGCCTTTGGGCTGGGTTGGCTGGAGGGAAACCAGGTCAGGACAGAGGGGCCTGTCTCGGGGAACTTCTTTGCCTGCTGAGGGGATGAGGGTTTGGTGGGTTGAGTGGTACTACGTGGAAGAAGAGAGCAGCTGAGCTCACGCAGCTATCATGACCAACGGGGCTACTTCTGTACTCTGAGGGGCCAGGAAGCCTGGGTGGGGTCCCAACATCACCCATAACAGCTTGTGACTTTCAGTAATTTCTTAACCTGCTGATCTTCAATGAATTAATCTATAAGAAAAGCAACACCTCCCTTCTATTGGACTTGAAGAAGTGAAATAATTCAAGTATATTTATTGGTCCAGGTTTGGCACAGGGAGTGATGTGGCTTCCCAGAAGTTCATGTGAGGAAACAGTGACGTCACCCATATAGTGAGCTGCCAGGACAGCTCACAGGTCTTGGGCTATAGTAACAGGAATACAGTTTTCAGGCAGAAAAGGGGGCAGCCCTGGTCTCCTTGGGTCAAGACAGGACAGCTGGTCCCCTGTGGGATGCTTGGCCCAAAGAAGGTAGAGCTATGGGGTGAGTAGTCAGTTCCTAATATCACTAAGGTGGTGGGGTAGGTGCTGGGCAGAGGAAATTGACCTGGTCTTTAGGACCCCATGAGTTAGACTAGCACAAAGAGCCAAGGTGCACCCCAAAAGAAGACAAACTTGGGCTCCTTAGATGGAACACCATTCCGGACATCAAACCTGCCCCACAATGGAGAGAGCCATCTCAGGAGGCAGTGAGCTCCCCATCCCTAGGGGCATGTAAGCTGAAGCACGGACTGTGGTCAACAATGCTGCTAGCCACATGCGGGCAGCTAAGCCATGACCTTGAAGGTCCCTTTCAACTCTGAAACATGGAGAGAGCCATCTCAGGAGGCAGTGAGCTCCCCATCCCTAGGGGCATGTAAGCTGAAGCAGGGACTGTGGTCAACAATGCTGCTAGCCACATGCGGGCAGCTAAGCCATGACCTTGAAGGTCCCTTTCAACTCTGAAACTGCTTTGTGGAGCGAGAGGCCCCGAGAGGCCCAGCATGAAACACTGCAGGAACCACCAAAGTTAGAACTCTGATACTCTCTAGGCTGCTTTGGCTACACCCCTGGAGGTCATGGGGGAAGCAGATGGAAAGAGGGGGCCACTGTTCAGATTCCACCCTGGGCATAGCTGGCTGGTACAGGAGTGCCCTTCCCTCCCCCGCTCCCGTCACACTGGGCAGGATTGTTTCCTTGCAATTTCCCTGCTGTGGTGAGCATAGGCAGTATCCTGCACATCTCCAAATGGCAGCACAGCACAACCCTGGTAGATGCTTGATAGACAGGTGCTTGTGGGCAGAGTGCTTCATCCTCTGAGCCTGAGATGGCCGGGGCTTGCCTGAGACCTTAGCTAGAAAGGGCAGTATCATATTTTTAAAGCCTAGGGTGTGTGTGTGTGTTGGGGTGCACATTTCATGTGTGCAAAAGCTCTCAAGGTGGGCTGTCAGCCTTTAAGCATCTTCAGCCAGTAGTGACTGATTCAGTAGCAGGACAGGTCTGCCTGTGTCTGTCTGAGCATCCATGTACATTACTTGGTGCTCTATTTAAAGACATCAGAAATAAAGGCAGAGGCAGAACCCCTCTTAATGTACTTGCCATTGGTTAATTAAACTACTTTGGGTGTTTTTCCCACTTCTCAAACATGCCTCCAGCACCAACTCAGCTGCATTTCTACTTTTCACAATAAGGTTAGCAATTTGGGTAATTGTGGCTGCAACCAGAGATTAATGGCCCCTCGTTACCTCCCAGGAAACACTTGGGGCTCATGGCCGAGTCGGTAGCCTGCAAATAGGCAGGGCCCCATGCTTCTCAGAACCCCCCATGTGAGGGTGCGGGGCAGCACCAGCCCCACAGGGGTCCTCACCTGATGCATGCAAGCCCACACAGAGCACACACAACACACACATGCCACCCCTCCCCACCTCAGGGAGCGGGCAGCACAGCCTGCTTAGGAAGGGCACCAGCTCCAGGGTCAAAAGGCCTGGGTTTAAGTCTCAGCTCTGCCACTTACTAGTTGAGTAACCTTGACCTCTCTAAGCCTCAGTTTCCTCATCTGTGAAATGGGGATAAATACTAGTATCTGCCTCATAGGGTGATAATGAAGATGAAATGAGAAGATACATGAGAAGTTTTTAGCACATAGTATTCTGTAAATGCTATTATCACTCTCATTTTCATTACTACTATTATTAAAATTATCACTAGTGCTGCTATTAAATAGCATTTTCAACACTGTGCAGCCTGAGTCCCCAACACACAGCCAGCAGCAGCCCCATGAGGCTCCCCAGCCAGGCAGATATGGCCCTGGCATAGCGCTGCTGCTTGTAGTTGGGATGGGCAACACAGTCCACGTCAGCCTTGACTCATCCAGGGAGAGAGACACTGACTGGCCACCTCCAGAAAATCCATAGAGGCCTAGGTAAGCTCTGCCTAAGGAGAAATGGAGATCAGAGTGTCCTTGCATGGGCATTTTCAGGCTGAACATGTGTATGAAGCAACTTTTCAGTGCCTGGCATACAGTAGGTATTCATAAGTGGCAACCCCCCTCTGGGGACATGAGAAGAGCAGCCCTCCAGGAGGAAAGCAGGATTCGCAGGGCATTTTTGAAGCAAGAATTGGTCAGGGGAGGACATCCTTTGATGAAGCAAAGATTCCCGGGTTGATGGGGGCCCCAGGGCCCCTTGGTCCGTAGTCTCAGTGCCCTCTCACGCTGCCACAGGGAGAGATGAAATACGATCACTGGTGGTGTAGTTAGTGACTGGTACCCAAACACTGCTGCAAACAGCAAGCTGATCAGCCTTCAGAACACAGGGTGGGGAGATTCCAGAGCACGAAGAGGTGTGGGCCTCCTTCCTTTGTCATTTGTGTGAGATATCTTGATTGGCAACAAAATATTAATCACTTTTTCACTACTCTCTTAATGAGAAGCTTTCATGGGCAACAAAATATTAATTTGTCTTATCTGTTAAAGAATTCTGTTAATGAATTCAGTCACAGAGCTATTACAGAATGCCATCCTAATGACACATGTAATTAAACTTTTCTGACTTGCAAACATCAAGGATGCCTTGAGCATCAGAATAATATTTGATCAGAAAGTAAATGTACCCCTCTAGCCCGGAGCCAAGTGAGGAGCCACACAGATTCTGCAGCAAGCAGTGTCGCTGTCAGCATCACTTATGAGTCACTGATCGTGTGTGTGCCCATCCAGATGGCGTACATGGGGAATCATCACTTACTAAGTGCTGGAGAGTTGCAAGCCCTGTGCCAGAGCACAGAGCAAAGACACTGACCCCAGCCAGCCTCCTCCAGCAGGGCGAGATATCCACGAACACCTGTTGCTGGGGCAAGAGAAAGGAGCCATTCTGGCTGGGGCTTCAGGGACAGGGATAAGCGAGAGAGGAGTGTGGAGGGACAGGCTGGGGGCAGAATACGACGGGCCTTGAATGTTAACATAGGAGTGTTGGCCGTTCCCCTGTAGATAGTGGGGAGCCCACAGATTTTTGAAGGGGAAGTGACGTGGTCTGATGTGTGTGCTACAAGATCCTGAGCCCCTTCCAGCCTGAGATTAAACATGCATCCAAGGAAGACCCCAAATAACGTGGGACCCAGAAACGAGGGAAGCCCTACTGGTACTCTCAGGGTGTTCCTCCTCTCTGACTTCCCCAGTGGCACATTTGGAGTGGAGCAGTGCCGCAGGCCACAGTGGCTCCAGCCCGAGTTCCCTCTGCATGGCCGTGGCTCAGTTCACAGCCTTCACTTCTCAAGGTTGTCAGCAAGTTGGGCCTGGACCTGGTGCGCCTCCTGAGGATGCCTGAGCCGCTGCTTTACAGGAGACCTCAGCTTCACCCAGCCCAGCTGGCAGGAGGGAAAACGAGACCACCGCTGAGCAGAGACCAGCCCTACAGACTAACAGGGCAACGCCCCCAAAACAGGTGCTCCCCAGCACGGGCAGCAGCCCAGGGAACTGGCAGCAACACTTGGCAGGGGGTCCCTGGATTATGACACCTCCTTCTATTTGATGAGAAATCCAGAGTTTCTGCTCACGCTCGTATTCCGCAGAGCTAAAAATGAGCGGCCTGTAATTTGTTTACTTCCCGGCCAACTGCCAGTTTCTTTGCAGAAGCAGCTGTGGGTCTGGGCGCACTTCAGACCTGTGCCCCCCACACCACAGCCCTCGAGGAACCACAGCCCACTGCTCCCCATCCCAGAAGCTAAGCTGGGGGTGGCCACAGCAGCACCTGAGCTCTGCCTGGCCTGGGCTCAGGCCCAAGAGTGTGCCTGTGTTTGTCTGAGAGAAGAGGAGCCCTCAGCCCCAAGCCCTCCACCATAGA